TGACTACGAAGTGGAAGCGATGTATCAAATTAGTTGCTGATTATCGCACATCGACTTTTCTCTTTTCGGAAATCTCTTTTTCAAAAGCAACAAATATTTCACCGATACTTGGAAATTAAGATTAATTATACCCACACTAATACTGGATTATAAGTCATTAATTCTTTATTCATAGATGATTTCGATTATTAAAACAATAGGTACACATTTTTATAAATGGCTAGAATTACCCAAACAATAAAAAGATACTAAGATAAAAACTGTGCAGTTTTCAATTTATTTTATATATACAGTTGTTAAAATTAATGTAGCTATGTTTTTATTGTTTGGGTTCTTCTTAGTTTTTATGTAAATAAGTATTATTGTTATAATCAACACTTTCTATTTACAATATAATTAATCTTAATATCAATCTAATCGTGAAGAAAACAAAAAACAAAGCTAAAATAGAAGTGTCGTTTAGGATAATAAAAAAACAATCATTTACCTTTAACTGGCTTCGAATTTTAAAATACATATCTCATAAATCGAAAAAATGAATGAAGTGCTAATGTGGATACCTTTTAAATGTTCTTGTAGTAGGTACATGTATTTACTTAAATGATCTAATCGATGAGCTTTACATTTGTGAACAAGCACACTTCCATATTGAATGAAAATCTTACCATATCTTTTTATTTTACCACTTATTGTTAGTGACATGCTATACTAGGATTTTGGTCTATTGATAAAAAATTAGCAAACAACAGCAAATGTTTGTAATATTCTAATTGTAAAATAAAAAAAATTAAAACATTAACATCTCAATATTTTAGTTAATCTCCTTTACTAATTAATTGTCAATGCATTCTTCTTCTTCCATTCCTTGATCCTCAGTTTCATCTTCTAAATGAAACTTTTCAAAACCTTCTCCCTTGATCCAACATGCTTTCAAAGTAAGTTTAAATTTAGCCAGTTTATAGTCCAAAAGTTGTAAAATTTTTGCTTGTTCAGGAGTAAGAATGGAGCCTTCTTTACAAACTTCATAATCTTTTACTAATGTTACAACCCCTGAAATAATGTGTAAGTTATTAATGTTAAAATAATGTAATCAATGTAGTTTAAAACTGTTTTATTATGTTAAACTGACACACCCCTTAAAACATGGGATCAAATAAAAAATCCGTAAAATAAGTGTTTTCAAGAAACATTCATTCTTTGGGGCAAACTGATAGTGAATAAGTTTTATGCTGGTAATGAAAATTTCAACTGAAACATATTAAATAACTGAAACCTAAGTTGTACAAGTCAAAAATGAAATATATTTTACATTCTCTTCCCATAGTTCATTTTCAATTAAAATCGCAGGAGGGGAAGACAAGAAATTTAATTATTGAAGAATTTCCACTTTTCAGTGCTTGTTTTATTTTCCAAGAAAACTAAGATAAATTAGAAGAAGTGAAGTAAGAAAAACTCAGTGCACACTCATAATATATTCTACCTTACAAATTTAAAACAAAATGAAAAATTATTAATATTAATTGCTACATAGATTACCAACCTTTATCTAATTTTGTAGGCATTCCTAGTTGTCTTAAATATGGTTCTATTGAATGTGGAAATTGTTTTAATGGACCTTCTCTTAGTTTTATAGTTACATCAACTTTAAAGCCTGATCTAGCATAATCTTCTATGCTAAAATCACTAAACCATTCCAAAACTTCTTTCTTCTCACAGTCAGTAAATAGTAAACCACATGGCCCTTTGAGACATTTAGAAATCTGCAACACAAAAAGGAAAATCAAACCATTTCTTATAAAAACCTCAAGCTCTTACCTTGTGCAAATCATCATTAATTTCTTGTTCGGGTGTTCTTCCTAATCCTAAACCTATTACTTTATTTTTTCCAAAGAAAAATCTACTAGGTTTCCATTCTTGCCTGATATCTTGCATTTTATCTGTCCGCATATTTTTATATGTAAAGACATAGACACTCTGAAATTTTTCAACGCACAATTTAACATCTTCAATTACTTTCTCCTTCAAAGCTTTACCTTTCTTACTTGTTTTTGTTAAGGAAACTGAAAAGCTAAAATTAATTATTCCTGAATTATTATACAATGGTATTAACTTACTTTTCTTGTCTCGTTTTGACTTCGGCATTGTTTTAAGAGGGGTTAAAGATGTTACTCGCCTAAGGGTTCACTTAATTAACTGTATTATAAACCACACGTGCTCTGAGTGTTTTGCTACTACTGCATTTATTATAAGGTTATGTACAGCTGTTGGCGTTTAACTTTAGATCTACTCTACATTCGTTGTAACCACATCTGCGTGTACGTTAGGTAGTTCAAATGATTCGTTATAAGCATATCTATGGCTTCAAAGCTCACCATACGCAGTCGCCATCTGTATTGATTACTTGCTCATGTCTTCATAAAAATTTAAATAATTTACAAGAGAACTGGCACAATGATAAAAGTGCATGTTAAGGTTATAAAGATTAATGATTGCGTACCTAAGATATACCTCCAGTAATTTTTAAAATTAAAAAAAAGTAATGGCTTATGTTTAAAAAATACATGTTGCGTCAGTATTTGCCAGAAAATAATATTCATCTCTTGAATATTTTTCTTTTACCTTTAATGTAAAGAAAATTAAAACATCCTGATTCGAAAATTAAAAAAAGTTAAGTACTTACCTAATTAAATAAAATCTATTGGGTTGTTTCTCCTGGCACATACCAACTAGTTAGAAAACATTTAAGCTTCTTAACTAATTTAAAATGAAGGAAGGAAACTTACTATTTGCATTTCTAAAACGAAAAGCAAATAAACGTATCATATACGCAATGAGCATTTTCTGTTAAAAAAAAATTTTTTTTCTATTTAGCGTTTTAGTCAATTTCAACCTCTGTACATCGGGAACTAAGCAAAATTTGACAACATTATAAATAAATTAAAAATAGTACAAAAACTGTCCATTTTGATGTTGTAGTTATTACCTTTTACGAATTAGCAATGCTGAGCACAACTGAAATAGATGGGCTGTAAATACATATGTATCTATACAATTAATATTTGAAAAGTATATATGTTGACATCCCAAATGGACAGTATTTTATTCGCAAAAACTGTCTACGACCTTTTCGAAATGAACTTTAACTCTTATCCCAAATTGCCCCATCCCATGATATGTAAGCAAAATATGTAAAACTACCTGTGCTTTAAAATGTGTGTAAATAGAAAATGTGTAATACTTAAGGTCTACCGGCAGTTGTGATCTATAACAGGTGAAAGTAAAACATGTGGCGAGTCTGGCAATTAGAAATATAGTATTTGGATCTCAAACAATTGTTTTGGTTGTTACTCCATTATCAAAGAATATCTACATGGTTAATGCTTTTTGATACTAATGAATGCGATCCTCTATGATGATGGCATAAAAATTGAAATAAGTAATTCCTTTTTGTGAAATTATCTAAGTGTTTTTTTTATCATAGTTGCATGTTAGATAATAATATATTTAACAACCGCCCAGTGAGTTAATTATTTCAAATATAGAGTATTATTACGTATTTTATGTGTGGTTTTGAAGTATTTATTATATATATATAGCCTAGTTCTTGGACAAAAAATTAAATTGTATGTTTCAAATGGTATTTATATGCAAATGTAGGTATATAGTTAGGTGTGAGTATTAACCACTAGATATTAGTTTTATTCACGCTGGCGACTCGTCTGGACATTACTCGATGGTGATTTTTATTTAAATATTAATCATACTAACATTATAACTTTACAGTTTGCATTGAATTATGGGCGCAGCCTTGAATTTATACAAAAAGAGCTACTTTAAAACTTTAATGTAAAACTCAATAAATTTTGCAATTGAAAAAATTAATGAAGAGGGCGATGAAAATTTTGTAAGAAGTTGCACAATTAAAATCTAAAATTGAAATATCCTGGATAAAAAGTTGATACTTCATTTTTTAATGAATTTATTTCATTTGAAACACCTTGTATGTAGGTTTATTGATGTTATCTTGTATTTATTGATTAGAACCACAAATAGATAGCACAAATAAGACGTGTTTTAACGATTAATTTGTGTGCCGGGAAACTGCAATAATCTGTTAATCTTTCAAAATAACGCGTATACGTTTTAAACAGAAATAAAAATATTTGTTTTTCTTTCCTTGTTTAAATTACAATCTACTATACCAGAAAAATTAAGCCATAAAAGTTCAAAGCTGCATACAGTGTGCTTAAAAGAACCAAGTTCGAAGTTGCGATTAGTATCTGGTAATTTCGATAAATTGCTTGGAGTATGTAAGTTACCTACGTAAAATATGTAACTCACGAAAAATAAAATTTTGGAGCGATAGATCTAACTATCGATCGGGATCGACAACTGGAAGGTTGCTTCCTTTAGGTCACAAGTAAATGTAAATAAACACATAATAAAGAATAAATAGACGATGATTCAACTATGCTGCTATTAGGGTTGCTTTGGTTTTGTTACGTAGCTAGTTTAGTTAAAGGATATTCATAAAAAGAGACATTTTCCTGCCAATATGGTGTACTCTAACATCAATACCGAATGGCAGCCCTTGAAATTTTAACCCCGAATTGTATTGCTTTACAGTTTACACCAAGGTGGATAAAAACAATGATTAAAAAAAATAAACAGCTGATTTCTTTGAATTAAATCAAAACAAACGACTTCTTGCGAAAACTTTCACTGGTCTTTTAAACACGTTTGGTGGACGTCACAATTCATAAAATTATGAATTGTTCAATTGCAACAAAATAGTTAATCTGCCGTGTGGTTTCCTTAGCTTCAGTTGAGCAACTGTTTTTCTCTTTTGAATTTTTAGAGAGCTTTACAAAATTGGTATTCTTGTTAAAACATAATGCTAATAAACAAATTTTACACAGATGGTTTCTGTTAGTTTAATTATTTCATTGATAAATAAAAAATACATTGCAAATATTCTTATGATTGCTTATTGATTAATAGCTGATGGTCTAAATCACCGATATTTCGCATTTCTCACCACTATCATAAGGCATTGAACACACCATATTACACGATATAATTGTTAACTTTACTACTTTTATGATAACAATATTCAAAAATGCTTTATCAGTACAAAAATATTTCAGATTAATAGTAATTATAACATGTCTGTAGGCAACCCAACATATACAGTAGAGTACTTCAAACAAAATTTTTAATTTTTTTTTCTAACTCTTACCCCCTCAAATGTTTCTATTTGATGTAAAAAAAATCCTCGCCAAACATGAGCCCTATAGCTCAAATCTAGGGGGTCGCTATTTTTATTTTAGTTTCCCATTTAATTAACATATTAGGTATTATATTGTATTGTATTGTACTGAGAACCATTTTTGAAATTTGTGAAAATACAATACTGACTAATAGTTTGATTAAAAATTTTGAGGATTATGCAAAAAAAATAATTGCAAGCTATTTTTTCAAATTTCAAAATTTACTCATTTTTAAATGGCTGTAACTAGTCTTTTTGTAAAGATAACCATACTTTGTCTTAGTGTTTTGTAAAGCTCAAAGACTCAACTTTGAGAATATGAAACGGTTTTTTGGAACAAAAATGCGTAAATTGTGTNAAAAAAAAATCCTCGCCAAACATGAGCCCTTTAGGTCAAATATAAGAGGTCGCTATTTTTATTTTAGTTTCCCATTTAATTAACATAGGAAAAATTCTTTTTTGTTTTAAATTGAATTTACACATAATTTACGCAGTTTTTTCCAAAAAACCGTTCATATTCTCAAAGTTGAGTCTTTGAGCTTTACAAAACTCTAAGACAAAGTATGATTATCTTTACAAAAAGACTAGTTACAGCCATTTAAAAATTACTAAATTTTGAAATTTGCAAAAATAGCTTGCAATTATTTTTTTTTTGCATAATCCTCAAAATTTTTACTCAAACTATTAGTAAGTATTGTATTTTTATGTAAATTATGTGTAAATTCAACTTAAAACAAAAAAGAATTTTTCCTATGTTAATTAAATGGGAAACTAAAATAAAAATAGCGACCCCTTAGATTTGAGCTAGCATGTTTGGCGAGGATTTTTTTTACATCAAATAGAAACATTTGAGGGGGTAAGAGTTAGAAAAAAAAAGCACCCTAATACACAGTGATAGAGAAGATCAGATTTTCTAGACGTCATATTCTACATCATTCTAGAATTCTTATAAACAGTTGTCGGCCAGGTCGGAAGAGTTACTTAGTACGAGATCGAGTTACAAGGCGATACAAAGCGAACCAAAAAAGCGAAGAAGAGACAAAATATGTTGAAATAGTGGTGAATTAATAATAGTAGTGTTAATTAGAAAGCAAATAGTTAAAGAAATTGAATAATAGTGAGAAAGGTGTTTGATAACGTGAAATTTGGCGTCAGAAGTGAGATAGAAGAAGACTGAAGCGGATTGGAGAAGGAGGATTTTTGAAGAATTTTATCGAATATTCTCAAACGTTACATCGGTCAATTTTCTGGAACTTTCTACCGATCGAGAATATCACCAAGAACCTGAAAGCTTTCGACGAAAGAAGAAGGAATCTGACGTCATTGAATTTCATGGAACTTTCTGGAAGTTTCCATTCATTTTTCTCAGGACTGCAACAACTACAGTGGTCGTCCGAAGTGCTGGAATCATCATCACGATTTAAATCATGCCAACAAATACCTGTATGGAAAGAAGTTCTTCTTAAGGCCGGATCACGCCCCGCTGAAGTAGCTGCTTCAATTCAAGAACCCCGAAGGGCAAAGTGCATGATGGTTACAATGACTTCAGCAATACGAGTTCGACATTAAGCATCGTCCAGGCAAATAACACGGCATGATACATTATTCCAGAAACCTTGAGTTGAAAACTGGGGTACACTGTTCATCTGCGGAGAAGAAGAAAATGTTGGATGATGAATGATGGATCTGTTGTAATTTAACCACCGTTCAGCATGAAAGATCCAGGGAAGATAGAGGAAAAATCGAAGACCAGAGGAAATACAAATATATTGAGTCAATATTGAGTTAGAAAGAACGTAGAATCTGAAGACCATCGTGGGCAGATGTGAGTCACCTAAACCAACCAGTGGACTTCCTTTAGCTTTAATCACGGTCTTTTGAAGAGAATGTGAGAGCTTTTAGATGGAACCAGAAACGCAGAAACAACCAAGTGGTACCTCCGAACAAACGAATTTCGTAAGTGGTAGAAGCAATTCATGGTGAAGGACATTTAGGCTTTAAGAAGATTCTAGGGAAGGTATGTGAATGATTTCATTGACTACGAAGTGGAAGCGATGTGGAAGACTGGGACAGGAAATGTGTCGCCAGTTAGGGACTAAATAGAAGAAGTTGTGGACGAATGCAGTAGTACAGCATGGAAGTGCCATTTGAGAGAATTGCAGTCAACGTAGCAGCACCATTCACAGTGGCAAACTTCGGTAACCGATACATGTTGGTGGTCATGGATTATTTTAGCAAATGTCTAAATCGAATCAGGAAGCACAAATCGTTGCTGATAAGTTTTTCAATGACTGGATTATGCGATATAGAATTGCATTCGGGCAACCGGAAGAACACCAGTCAGCATTTTATTTGGGAAAGAACTCAGGTTGCTAGCGGACATGATGTTTGGTCGTTCTGGAGACTCTCCAGTACCTACAGATGAATTTCGCAGGCAAACTACAAAAACGACCAGAAGTCATCCACAATGCTGCACAATATGATTCATGCTATTCTGAATTTTGCAATGTACCTCCGACCCGCATACTTTGTATAATTTTTTTTTGTTTTAAATAAATTCAATTATAATCTAAACACGGTCAAAGTGATTTAACAGTAGTGACAGAAGGCCAGATTTTCTAGACGTCGTATTTTGAATCATTCTAGAAAATAGGCCAGGCCTTATAAATAATTTCCGGCGAGGTCGGAACAGTTAGTTATTGCGAGATAAAGTTACGAGGCGTTACAAAGCGAAGTAGAAAAACCGAAGAAGGGACTAAGTATGTTGAAATAGTGGTGAATTAATAATAATAGTGCAAATAGTTAAATAAATTTAATAATAGTGAGAAAGGTGTATGATTACGTGAGAATATTATAAGTTGACTAACAAAATTGATTATTCTTTTGATAAATTTTAACCCAACTTTTTATTTAATGATTTAAACAGTAAAACTGGTAAACTTATCACAAAGTAGGCATCATTTTTGTCCAACACTGTAAAATCGTCATTTGATTTATTTTGGCTTAAGTAAATTATTCTTTTTGTTAAAACAAAAGGTGCTTTTAAATGTTTATTTAAATAAGTTTTAAAATATCAATACCCCCATAAAATTTTTAAGATTATGACATAAGTAGTTATAGGTAAATAGTTTTTAATTTAACAATATGTAATTAAGTCGTTGTCATTTAATTCACTATGAATTCCTGATCTAATAATTTATTAATTACTAATAACTTTACCGTGTATCCTACATAAAACATTTTTGTCTTTAGTTTCCTTTGTAAGTACTTTCTTTATCTGGACGTAATGTTTCTTACATATGCATTTAATTACTTGGAATTATGGCCCTTTTGATGTATATGACCATACTGAAAATGGGACACTAAGTAAAGTATTGACCGTTTTGTCTAATTAATAAAAGCATTATTTTTTAAGAGCTTCACGCAAGGGGTTTATTAGAAGTCACGAAAGGGATCCATAATACTTAAAGTGGAAGTTCATTAGAGGTCACAGTGGTCTTTTCGAATCGTTTTTCGTGTACATTTTTCCTTAGATACCGTCGCAACAGAAAGTAAGGTTATTAGTTACATTTTTCTTTGGAGTCAACAAGAAATGTACATGGTACGAGTCGCATAAAAAGTAAATACTGACTAACCGAACATTTTCTGTATGGAATAGAAAGGTACTTAAGTTCATACTTTTCATACGAAAACCTTGTTGAAACCTAAAACGTGTTTGTTCAGTTAGAGACTGAACACCTTGGAAGTTAAAACACGTTTTGGGGGGTTTAAACGTTGTGGTACAAATGTTTGGATTCTAATGTTTTATTTGGTTCAATTTCACATAACCCCATTTGATTTTGTTGTACCTTATAAAGGTACTAATGTTTGTCCTATTTATGCTTTTTCATTGCATTTGGATATTCTTAGTTAAATAAATGGAATTAAAATTTACTCTTAAAGACAATTTAAAAAAGGCATTAGCAAAGTATACACGTATATGTTATTTTAAAATTGGAAAAGTGTCGTCAAATTATTAATATATAAAAAATTCTCCAATGAGGAAGGAATGAAACGAAACAGGCGTTAGAAAAATCAATGGATGCCTTCATTTTAGTTATGGGGCTTGTGGAAATCAGACAAAATCACAGTTCGAAATGGAGATTAGGTACGTGATAATTCTGGAACTAATGTGATTAACGCGGTGTTGGAAATCCCTAGAAAGAATGTTTATTATCACGCATAGGCTTTGCGTGCGTCGTTAAAGTCAACTATGTGCTGATCGATTAATATTACAAATTGGAGACGTGCGTATATTTATGTAAAACAATAAAGGTTGTATTAAGTAAATTAAATTCCGTTGGTTTCAATTTACACGTTAATCACTATCGGCAAGATAGTCTGATGCAATCTTCAGTCAAAAAATTTTGAGAATAAAATTTGAATTGCTACCAAATCTAGACTGTATAGTTACTCTATCTAATTAAAAATCATTTTAGAATGGTTCTCACCTCAGATTAATGAAACTACACTATCGTCGAACAACACAATGTGTTTCTTTAAAAAATGATTACTTTAACTCGCGAATGTCAGAACTTCTAATACGTTTTTTTGGCTTATTTATATAAGAAGTCAATTCCGTAGTAGTAGCATATTATTTTTATTTGAATGAATCGGTTCAAATGATATGATAACCGTCAATAATGAGCTTCACAATATTCCACCTTCCTCTTTTTTACAAAAGCCTGTACTGTCCGATTCTTCACCCTTAGTCCTGTGCATCTGAATGTAGTTGTGGTCAGTAAGGGTTTTCAGAGATAGGACTTCTCATGTTATCAGCCATTTCTAGAAAGGAGACACTTGTTCCGGAAGGTAGAGGAACGGCCATTGTTTATATGTTTATTAACATTCCCAAAATATTGACTTGCTATTACAGTCACCTTTATCACAACTGAACCATATGATCGTCAAAGGATGAGTTCTAACATCGTCAAAAACATCTTGTACATTTGGAAGGGCCTATTAGGGGTGAAGTATAGTGCAACTAAGGTTACCACTTTCAGCCTTATCCACGCAAAAGCATCATCTGTTCCACTCCCTTGTTGTATAAACCTTGTATTAATTGCCCCATCTATCCCTCGTTTTTATCCTGTATCCAGTCATCTTTTAGAGCAATTAACTTATTTGGTTCTGCGATCACGGCCATATCCACCCTCCTTCCAAATTTCGTCTGCCAGAGGAAGACTTGCGCAGTCTCACATTTGCTCTTCTCATTTATTTTCTGTACGACTATGTATACAGTTAGTATATTTATTGCTTTATTTATACAACAATTGAATTATTTTGGTTGGTCAATGAAGATGTACCGTTAATAGGTAAAATTAAAAACACTCCACTGAGGGCAAAATACTGTATATATAGAATCATAAATATTTTGAATAATTGGAAATTAAAAAACCACAAGGTTAGCTCAATGACATTCATAAAATATCAGTTAGGACAAAATTAAAAATTTTCTATGAGAAATGTATTAAAAACAGTTGCTAAACTACAAATATTGTAAATTGAAGAGTAAAAGTAGAATAGTTCAACATTTTGATTTGTTCTAGTTTTTAGTTGTCAGTTGTATTTTTTTTTTCAAATAAATTACTTTACGTTGGTTAACGTGGGTGTAAATTAGGCCTCAGCTAACAAGCAGACTTACTTGTTTCTCAAGAAAAATGAATTCTACTTTTAGTATCCTATAGAACTTACGAGTTACTACTTATGGACAACTAAGAATAGCTTCATATGTTCAACAAAAAAAATAAATTTTTGGTTCTATAGGTCAGCAGTGGAATCACAAGTTAATCTAATTCAATCAAACTTCTATGAAGAACAGATAACCACTAGCACACTAGATTTAAGGATATAATAAAAAACCTAAAAATTATTTCACTACGATAATAATGTATACATTAGGTTTATTGTCGTTTCTGCCTTTCTGAATATTGAAAAAAAAAAATGTCAATTCAGTACGACACTTATTACTTTACAATTCTTTTGAATAAATGAGTCTTCAGGTTTCCTTTTCTTTATTCCCTGAGTAATTGATTTTGAGTTTGAATGTTAACTGTTGTTACTGCAGTTATTTTTGCTAAATAGATTTTATTTGTTTTTCAGTTTTATAGCACGAATTTTTATATATATTCGAAACAATCTTAATTGATGAACTCGTGCTAGGTCGGAGAGAACCACCAGTCATCATACTTTTAATCAGACCTTAATAATCTAATAAGTGCATTTGCTGCATTAGATGTTAACTCAAAAAGAAGCATTTTCAGTTTTATTTCACAGTGAACATTGTTTTTGCGTATTATATTATTATTTATTTACCTAATATTTCAATTTCAGAAAGAAAATGCTTCTAGATTCTGCACTAGTAGTGGACAGTGGTATATATCAGAACATAATCATGCTTACTGGACCAACTATACCCAGTGCTACGGAAGCAACAAAGCACTTGTGAGGATGAATATATCAATGGACGATGAGCCAGATTTAACGGGTTCGCTTATAGCGGTAAGTAAGTTATGAGTTTTCACTTTATTCCAAATATCTTGTTTCTTTTTATTTTTAGAAGTACATATGGTCTATTAAAACATTATCAAGAGTTGGTTATAGCATATCTCTTATCACACTTATTGTAGCATTTATCGTAATGTTTTCAATTAAGTAAGTACTTGTTTACAGAAAATACTTTTTATCGTCCGTTTTTTTTACACAAACTCTCCGTATACTGATTAAAATACAAGAGATATTTAAATTATCCTTATCAACTTCACAAAACTTTACTAGCTTATATTTGAGCTTCGTTGGTCCTTAAGTACTGCTATCGTAGGGAATTTCAGTTACTAACCATTCCTCATACAATTTAACATTCTCATAAAATACTCCAACATACAAGCTGAGTTGTGCAGTGTAGACTACATACTAACTCCTGCATTTATTTTAATGTTGTTATATAAATAGATTTGATTTTGCTATTTAAGAGTGCTCTAAAAAACTCACCATACCTAAGTCCAAAAATACAAAATGCGTCGATAACAATTTGTGGTGTCATAACCCAAATACTTTTCTGTATTGGCTGATGAAACAACAAATATTGCTAAGATTGAACAAATGTCTCTATGCATTCACTGTACGGTGAATTTCAACTCGCTGAGTTGAAAATCATGACGGATTTTATTAAGGTATAAAGAGATACTTCTGCCCATTGTTCATGCTTTGGAGGAATTATCAGTAGTACCAAATACGGATATTTTCTGAAATGCCAAACAATTTATTATCGGTATCTGCGTTGTCGAAATTTCTTTGGAGGATTCCCTTACCTTACTTTTGGTTGATAACATTTTTATGTATCGCTCTCAATGACACGTGGTCAAATATGAGCAACTATTTTCTTAAAATTTTAAAAGAAGCGGCTTACTTTTTTCAAAAAAGGTGCAAGAAAATTAGGTGCTAATTCTGCAGAAGAGTATTTTTGAATAGCCATTGCCTTTCCGTTTTGCCGATATTATGGACCAGATCAAGTCAGTATTACAGAATGACGATATTCAAGGTTCAGAAATGACCCCGAAACACACCCTGTAGGTGTTCTTTCACAGAAACCGACTTACCATCAATAACGAAATATTATTCTGGAATCCTTAACGAAGCAAGCCTTGAATCGGAGATAAAGCTTTGCAAATTCAAGTGGAAATTTTATCAGAACCCTCTACTATATCTCCCTCTCTTTCTACTACTACGTCCCTAAATCCTTCCAAAATGTAACAAGCAAGTATATCCAACTGTTTCTGCTTTATTAAAAGTATTAGCTATATTGCCAGTATCCACGGCTACAGCAAACCGTTCCTTTTCAAAACTTCAGGAATTGAAATCATATCTACGCAATTCTATGAGTAAGGATGGATGACTATATATATTAGCTTTAATAAATGTTCATCGAGAAATAAATATTGTGAACGAGAAAGCTCGATTTCGTTTTGTAACAGCTTCTTTTTATTTATGTGTTTGACGTATTATTTCTGTATCTATCTACATTTTAAAGTTCATATACTCCTATATACTGTGTTTTTTATATAAAAACAAAGGCTTTCACGGCCGGAATCCATAGTATTACAAAGATTCGGGCTATAGGGCCGTGGTCTAAGTGAACTATTCTGTCCAGACGTTTCATCGGCTATTGTGGTTGACATCCTCAGTGTGTTGACAACGTGAACGTAGATTATATCTCGACAGGGACTGTGTCATTTATTGATTCTGTCTGTTTTCATTTAGTATACTATTGTTCTTAATGCTTTTTTTAAATAATTAGTATAATTGTAAGTAGATAAGCGTTAAAGATTAAATTAAATTGTAATTCGACACCCCCTCTCCGAAATAATATCCTGTTTACAGCTCTGTTATGAACGTTTTGTTTAAAAAGTCGCAATTCTACCCAACCTCAGTTTAACACATATGGCTGCTTTAACATGTAAATTTGTAATGAACAATCACGAACAGTTGCACGCAATATTAAGACATCTCTTACGTTTACGTGTATTCACCTGATAGGTGTGCTACGATTAACAAAACAGGTGAACTACTTTTAGAAGTATCTTTAGGCTTATTTTTATTTGGGTAAATCTGTAAATCTAATAGAATGATACACTGACTTCCATTTATGTTATCGAGTTCTTTTTTGTAGTACACGATATTTCTTCCAGCAAATGGTTATTTCTGAGATAAAATAGATATCACTAAGTGTTTGCGTGTTTACTTGACACAATCAATATTTACACCACGAAGTCTTGTGATAGAAACGTTAGTTAAAATTAGTTGACGAGTGGAAAGAAAGAAGTTAAAATTTTTGAAGAAATCTGGTGATTAATAAAATTTAGGACTCAGAACTATGGCATATACGTGGATTAAAATAATGTAGAAAAATTACACTAAATATTCAAACGCTAACCGCTTAATACCTACCCTGAAACCAATCTGTACATAAAATTAAATTAGAAAAAAGTGCATTGTTTAGAAACACCTTAAAAAATTATATGGTATATTCAACGGAGACCTATCAACTAATTCTTTTAAAAAGATCTTAGTTACTAAAATTATTTGAATTTATGTAATCCATGGGATAAACTTGAGTACTGTGGAACAGTAACAAAATAAATACTCAAGATCCAAAATTTCTCACAACGTTTAGAACACCAAGGTATCATCCCCACTTAGAGTTAGTCGTGTTTATTTACTTACAATTAGGTAGTTTTTTATTTTGAATATTTTATTTATAAGTATCTAGTGTGCTTAGCTTTACACAAATCAGGAGGGTTCAACATGCCGGTCTCTATAGTGGTCCGCATTCATCACGCATTCCTCTTATTTGTTAATTAGAAGTCTGAATTGTATAAAGAACCCTTTATAAATATTCGTAACACATGAAACGATAATATAGGGGTAAATTTTTGCTTTAGAATAAAATATAAAGCAACTTTACAACCATATAAAACACGTGCTACTAAAAGTTTATTTTATAGGAAACAATGAAACATTAAGAATTAAAATCAAACCAAGCGAAGACACATAGTAAAATGCAGGAACCAAAGAATATTTAAAACCGCGTCCTATTCAAACGCACAACAATTGTTCTTCTAAGTATTTTAATACCGTAGGAGAAACTATAATAGGAAGCTAATGGGTTCATCATACCCTATACGCCGGACGCAGGGTTAAGAATGCTATTACAATATACAATCTAAATAAGTTTCACTTGTTACACGTGTACACTAATGCTTGCACGCCCCCTTTCTTTAAAATGATTTTTGACAAAATACAGTACACTAATCAAATAAAATTTTCTGTTCAAATTATAATACCTGCTAAGATAATCCTTGAGTAGTAGTTGTTGTTATGTTTGTTATTTTTACATCAATCAAACACATTTTGTATTTTTTTTTATTTTATTCCATCACGTATACACAACGAACCATCACAACCATAATCATCTTATCTTGTTACTTTTACGCTCACTCCCCCCTCCTCATCCTAACACTCATATGTACTCACAGATACCTATATTTTTAATAGTATAAATCATAGATTATACATGCAAACATGAACAGTAGCATAACACCTTAGACCCCACTTTCTTAAACAAAAGCTATTTATATAATAGTTTAATAACCAAACATCATATATGCTAAACATAATAGTCATTCAGACGCAAAGGACAGCTAACCATTCTTCCCGATCAGGTGATCACATTTTGCGCCTTCGTATATTAGTCTCACTTGTACCAAATACAATTTCATTAGAATCGCTTTTCGAAGTTTGACGTTTCTGTGTATTTATACTAGTTTGACCGTTATTTAAACAATCATTCGTTTTCTCATTAGAATGATCTTCAAACGCATTATTGTCTTGTTTGCATATATGTATCCTCTATTTATTTCTATTTTTGGTTATTTACGGTTATTTCATAAGACCTCTGTCTGTCACATAGTTTTGATACTTTGCCGGTGAGTAATGGCTGATTTATGTCAAACTAGAATGTATCTACAATACCTCCAAAAATATCTTCAAAACACCTTTGAAATACCTCTATGGCTAATGAGATACCGTATGGCATTAAATTTGATTTATTCCTGCCAAATGAAATTACAAAAGTAACATATCTCTAACTAAACTCCGTTAATTTTGTTTGCCAGAAAGCCCTGTCTGCATTCAACGTACTAAATATTTTAGCATCACACATCTTTTGCAGTTAATTCTTGAGAATGTTATGATGTTGTCTCATAACATACTTGTTCAGATTTGTTGGATCCAAACAGAGTCTTATTTTGCCATGTTTGTTCTTAACAATAGCTCCATAACTTTTTCTGTCAACCCTAATTTTTATAGTTTATTTAATTCTAATGTAAGCGTCAAAAGAAAAGGTTAGAAGCGTTCGAAATGTGGTGTTATATGCGAATGATGAGGATAACGTGGATAGAAAAGGTTAGAAATGAAGAAGTATTAGAAAGAATAGGAGAACAGTGGACTCTATGGAAGTCAATAAGAAATAAAGTCAATAAGGCATGAAAGTCCAGTCAGAGACATATTAGAGGCAGAGACAGGAGTTAGGAGGGGTAGAAGTAGACCTAGATAAGATTACTGTTCGCAAATAGTTAAGGATGTGGATTGTTCTGGTTTTAGGAAAATGCGAAGTTTAGCTCAGGATAGGAAAGAGTGGAGGTACGTGTCCAACCAGTCTTAGAACTGACCACCTTATGATGACGAAGTGGTCCCATTTCTATAATTTGCAATTTTACCTACTACATTTTCTTTTGTTGTGTTATCGCACACAAAAATTCATATTCTTGAACAATTTTATTTTCAATCATAATATTCAACTTATACATATATTGGTTTTGATTAGTTCAAGTTCTATTAGAGACGGAGAACCAATAATGGTTGGTATATTTATTAAAGCACCCTTAACAACTATAAATTTTGATTCCTATTAAAAAAAAATATGCCTTTCCACACTTTCGTTTGTTCTTCAGATGCTTTATGTAGCTCATCTAATTTTTTTTTGTTTCATCTGTTAGGTTAAATGTATTAAATTTTTCCAAGGCTTCTTCACCTGCCACATACAGTAAAACTGCTACTTTTTTTTCATTTGTTTTAGATATTAAATCAGTTGCTTA